ATACTTTATTAATTATTTTTTTAAAGAGAATTTAAACTCATCATAATGAAAGGACGACGTCCACATGGTACATAAATGGATGTATAGGACGGGACATGCATGGTTCGTGAGTAAAGTAAAGTAGTGTCTCCTCCAAGTCACTCTTCGCTCTGTTTCTCTTGTGAATAAAATGAATCATTTAATTTTAAATTTGGATTTCCCTGTATAAGAGCATGTGTTTCGGGAGATTTAATACCTGTTTGGGATAGCAGTGAAAATTCCCTGTAAACACTTTTCACGTAAGTTGAGACAAAACTCCTTTCACATATTTACCTCCTATTTCGTAAATCACTATTAAAAAGCTATTTATAAGCTGTTTCAAATGGGCTTTTAAAAAAATGATACACGAGCCAAATTTTACTTTATTAAACAAACTTCTCCAGTTTTTTTTTTTAAGCACTTCCGTGGGGAAAGTTGAAGTGGATGAGGTATTTAGAACAGTAATATATTATTTTTGTCCTAATTATAAAATTTTATTTATAATCTATAAATAAGATCTTATAATTAGAACCAGAGGTAGTACATCATACTGTGAGAACCATGCATGAATAAAGTTGAAGTGTGTGTATATATAAAGCAAGAAAATAACTTATCAAGGAAGAGATCGAGGAAAAAGAATAATGATAATTAAAGATCATTTTAAATAGCATATGATGCTTGAAGGCAAAGTACAATGAGGTGGGCTGGAGCTTGAAGAGATGTGAGATTGTGGGCTAAGAGCTTCGAGGACCGGAGGGGCCTTAGCTTAGCTAATGAGAATTGGTAGAATGAAGATCCATTTAGTATGAACAAGGAAGATTCACTTGTACCAACAAGGATTGGTCCAAGTGGTAAACGGCTTGGTATTGCTTAAACGAGGTCTTGAGTTTGAGTCTCAGCGTATGTAGAAATCCCCGTTGAGAGACTCACCCACCACAGTTAGGTGCCCGACACGGGTCGGATCTAGATGTAGTCGAAGCAAAGTTCCGATGAACTGAGTGGGTAACAGGAGAAAAAAAAAGAATCACTTGTGTCTCAATTATTCTCAAATCTCAACCCGTCACTCTTCCCCTTTTCAAAACCCATCAGACCCGTGAACCACACTTTCCATTGCAGCCAACCTGCCATGCAAAACAAAAACTCACCACCAAAATGTGTTTGTCCTCAGTCTCACGCAACATTTTCAGTATGGTAATATATATGTGCAGAGCCAAAAAATATGCCAGAAGATAAATACTTGATTGCTTGCCCTTCTTTTAGCCAAACAATTGCTCTGTACTTTTCTCCCACTCCACGGATCAAAGCTTGATATCTTTTTCCTCTGGGTTAGCTTCATCGATTGCCTAAAAGCCAATATTGTTGCCCCTTTTCTCCTGACGTCCTTCACTGCTTTAACCTTTTCTAGTGAACCTGGTGTCCCCCACCAATTCTAGCAATGTATTCGAGTTTCCAGGCCGAGATGGGAAGAGGATTACCTCTTGGTTAAATTCCTTCACGTTTTTTATAGGACAGATGGCAGGCATGATGATGGTAGAAAAGTTTAGCAGCTTGCATTCATTAGATCATGGAAAATCTGCAACCAGATGCCTTTTTTTCCTCACTTGTCTGTCCTTTTCATGATAAAGGGATCTCATTTTCCGATCCAATCCTGCCTGCCCATGGCTTCTCCGCATAGTCACTAGTCCCCTTCATGGGCTTCCTCCTCTCTCAGAATGAAATTTAATCAATATGTAGTTCTGCATCCTCTGGGTCTGTCTGAACCTTTTACCCCAGCTTCAATGGCGGTTGCTTCCAATGTAAAACAAGGAAGATCGGCTTAAAGTGTCCGGACTTTAGAAACAGAAAAAGAATACATAACTAGGTTTAATAATCTATGCACACGCACGCGCACTCATATACCGTGCTCACCCACAATATAACCCTGAGTCTGATGGGAAAAAGAGACACCATCCTCCTGCCCAATACGCCGTCAACATTTGCTTTTTGAAATTTAGCTCATTCTTTAAAGAACGTAGCTTTAAACAACTCTGTTATTTGTTAAGGACCAAATACAGATTTTTCAGTTACGGGAACTAAATGAAATGCTAACCAACATCATCATCAAGACCAGCAGAGTCATTTAGATTCAGAGCCCTCCCTAGCTATTATAAACTCCACAAACCACCCGTTTTGAAGTGAAGAGTTTAGGGGTCTGCATTTTGGGATGCTCTTAGTTCATTACTCATCAATGCCATCGTCCGAATTCTCAAGTTACCTAAACATGATGGAATGCCTTAGAACTCAAAATCAAGTTTTACACACTCATTTAGAAATATACAGTAAATCAATACAGGTTCTCCAAAGCACACGCACCGGACTTAAGGGGCTCTTGATTTAATACGTTGAGCTCTAAGCAGTCCATCCTTAATGGATTAGGACCCAAACCGATTACAAGTGAGGCTACTATGTGAATAACAAAATACTACGTGGATCTTGAGATGGAATATATTATTTATGATGTAAAATTCAAGTCTTAATAACTACTTATACGTAAGACAGAGATCATATATATTTCAAGGAGTCAGTTTTGAAAGCATAGGATAATAACTCCCGTATTTCTGTTTAAATAGTTGTCTCCTCTAATTCATTTAGAGTTATTTGTTGTGCATCATAATCTGAATTATGTATTAGTAGCTCAACATTCATTGCAATGAGTTGCTCGACCTGGCTCCAGGAAAAAATTAGGTACCGTATGACTAGGGACGCAAATCTTTCCCGAGAGACTCCTTGAGATGATTTTTCCCCACTTCAAAAGACTTTGGGGTTTTGTGACAATGTGTGATCAAGCTAAGAAGCCTCTCATATCGGATTATGGATTCAACATATATGGATTCCATAGAAGGAAAAGTAGTCCCAGAATTTCTTGGAAAAGACTTGGCTTCTCTTCATTTAAATCTCAATTACTAAAAATTTGATTCCGGGTTGAGATCACAAATGGAGAGGAAGTGAAGAGAGAAAGAAATTGAGAGAAGATGGAGATGTGGGGATTAGTTGGCGCTTGATGGAGGTAGTTTTCTCCTTTTTCCTTCTTTTTTCCCCCGATTTTAGTAATCATAACTTCACATTTATTTATAATGGTAAGGTACATTTACATCTCAAAATATTTTTTCAGATATGTTTAGTGTCCTAAAATATTTTTTGGTACACTCAACATTTTGAAATATTTTTTCAGTTATATCTAATACTCTAAAATATTTTGTAGTATGCTTAGCACCTCGAAGTAGTTTTTTAGATACATCCAGCGTCTTAAAAATACTTTATAGTATTTAATATACATTCATTTAATGAACTGCTCATGAAATAATACTTTAAAAACACAATTGCTTTTGAAAAAAATTAATACCTTAAGTGCAAAATTACTCCACAAAATATTTTAGAACGTTTGATGCACCTAAGAAAAATGTTTTAGGGTGATGGATGTATTACCAAATATTTTGATGTATTGAATGTACCTGACAAAATACTTTAGGGTGTTGCTTGCACCTTAATTCTGTTTATAATAAACAAGCTTGGAACCTGGGGTTAGGGAGAATGACAATAATGCTCCAAATGTTTGAATTATATGACAAATCCTAACAAGATTTTCTAAAAACTTACAAATTCAAGAATCGTAATTAGGTACTACCTTCTTAATACAAGAAGCAATTGATTAATTTGAATATATTAAAAAAATTAGTTAAATTAGTTATTTATAATAAATAGGTATTTTTTCTTAAAATATCCTTATTAATCAAGTGCATTGGCTAGAACTACCATTATTACAAGGATTACTTTGAGAAAAATAAATAAATATGAGAAATAAAATGGATTGAGATCTTATATTTAGAATTAAAATAAAAATCAAATAAGCTCTTATGTCCTGTTTGGTACGAAGCATTACAAATGGGTGATAAAGATTGAGATTGGGATTAAAAACATCTAGTAAAAGAGTATTTAGTATGAACAATTACTTGTTACATGGAATTGAACAAATCTGTGGGATTGGGATATCCCATAAGGGGAGGTAGCATTTCCCAATTCTACCTTTATGGATTTGTCTAATTCCATATGACAATTAATTGCTTATGCTAAACATTTTTTTAATAATTTTTTTCAATTATAATCTTAAAAAATATTTAATATCAGACGCAGACCTAATATTAAGGGCCCGTAATATAAGTCATTTAAATTTTAAATGCAACCGTCAGTTTTGTGAGTGAGATTTTCGTTTGTAACTGATTAAAGAGATGTTTGGAAACACCTAAAAATATTTCTTAAAAACATTTTTATATAAAACGACACAAATTTTTTTATATATTTATTTCGTATCCTCTGTAAAAACATTTTTACAATTGTAGTTTTGATTCCACCTAAATGCCCCCTAAATCAGCATTCGCTGCTCCTCCCTAATCCCATCACGTCGCTCGCCCCTGTCGCAGTCCCACCCTGGCTCCCTCAGCGTCACTCGTTCGTGTCTTTCTCTTCTTCCTGTTTGCCTTCAAAGCTGCCGTCCCCGTCCCACTCGTCACCCGAGTGTCGTGGTCTCGCCAAGCTCGATCAGTCTCTCGGGTTCCCTCTGTTTCCAAGCTGCAATTTTGTTGGTCCCTATTATTTCCAAGCTGTTGTTTCCTCTGTTTCCAAGCTACTGACTATTGTTTCCTCTCAGGTCCTTATTCTTAAATAGCCATTGTTTCGGTTTTTATTTTTCCTACTTACAAGAGAAACTTTGCTTTATTGTCACTGTCGTGAGATTCTGTTTACTGCGTTGATTTGCTTCTGTTTAACTTCTGCTGATTGATTTGCCTCTTCTGCTGTTTGATTTGCACTATCAATTTATCATTTATCATTCTTGAATTGAAAACTAGATTATTGTGCATGCATATTGCGACTAACCCAAGTACTGCCGTGTAAGACATGCATACCAAAAAAAAAAAAAAAAAAAAGAAAGAAAGAAAGAAGGAAAAAGATAGTTTAAGGTAGGTTCAGCGTTCTGATTATATTCTGTGATATGCGTTCGACACCCTAAAGTTCGGTCTTATTCTCATTTCTTCGCCCGCCGCTTGTCCATTCTCTTTCTCCTCCCTCCCCTGCTTCTACAGGTCCATTTCCCTCTGCCTTACTAGAGACTGCTGAGAACCAACCGATGATTCGCATTATTATGGATATTGGACATTTGATGGTGAGAGACTTGTGGACGACTATTGAGCACAGATTCATTGACTCAAACTCAAGTGCTACTTGGCAGACTAGTGAAGCACATTATATTAACTCTTACTTTGTTATTTTCAATGACTTCCTGTAGGTTGCGACGAGTTTTCGGTTGCTAATATGGGGGTGAGTCGAGAGCTCAGGGCTTGATGTTCTTATCCGCTTATGGTTTCAACCATAGCCTTCCGATTCAAAGTTAAAAAAAAAAAGAAAAAGCTTTCCGACCAACTGCGTTCGGCTCTTCTTTCTTATCTCGCTCTGAGAAGGTATCGAACCTATATAATGATTCTCACTCGTTTTTGAAGTACAAGGGAAGAAAATTAGGAAGGAGACAGATAAAGAATGTGTGGGCTAATTGGGTATCTGGGTTACAACTTTGATAGAGAGCGAAGATACTTCCTTGGGGTACTCTTTAATGGCTTCGGGCGATGGCTCCACTGCGGACATGCTTCCTCTGCATTCGCTGTTGCCCCTTCATTTTCTCCAGCCACTGATCGTCTTCAGTTATCTGAAAACGTCGACGGTTCTGCCAAATCCATGTACCAAGGTGAGTTTTTGTCATTGTTATTCATTTCCACAAAGCACCGATACCTATAAAATGGCTCGCGTTGGACAAGATATGTGTAAATGGCACTAAGACGCTACCTACATATGTTATGACTTCATGGTGTTCATACTGGGTTGTTGTTAAACCTATGCTGTCCCTGGCTGCTCTAAGACAATTATATTTCAATTGCAGGAGCTGGCACTAAATGCAGAGACCCGGTCTGGCAAATAAAACCACAACAACTTGCATCAACTGTATATTCCATTCATAATTTGAACATGCTTGAACTAAACTCTGAACTGAAGCATCTTGTAAAAAGAGGTCACTTGGTTGAAGCCAGGGATCTGTTTGATAAAATGCCTCACAGAGATGAAATTTCTTGGACCACAATAATTGCTGGTTATGTCACTGCTTCAGATTCTGATGGAGCATTGGTCTTGTACTCGAACATGTGGATCCAGCCTGGACTTCAAATGGACCAATTCGTTATTAGCGTTGTACTCAAGGCTTGTGCAGCCAGCATGAACAGATATTATGGAGAATTACTGCATGGGTATGCAGTGAAGTCTGGTTTGAAAAACTCAGTATTTGTTGGCAGTGCCGTGCTAGACATGTACATGAAAGTAGGCCAAATAGTGCTAGGTTGTAGAGTTTTTGAAGAAATGACAGTTAGAAATGTAATATCATGGACTGCCATAATAGTGGGGCTTGCGCATGCTGGTCACAGTAGGGAGGCATTGTTATACTTTTCTGAAATGTGGAAATCAAAAGTGGGATATGATTCATATGCATTTGCTATTGCTTTAAAAGCATCTGCTGATGCAGGTTCCTTACTTGATGGGAAAGCTATTCATGCACAGACTATAAAACAAGGGTTTGATGAGAACTCATACGTGCTTAATACTCTTGCTACAATGTATAATAAATGTGGAAAACCAGACTGTGGCTTTCGATTGTTTGAAAGAATGAATGTGCTGAATGTTGTTTCATGGACAACCATTATCACGGCATATGTACAGAGGGGTCAAGAAGAACATGCAGTGGGAGCATTTAAAAGAATGAGAATATTAGATGTCAGTCCCAATGAATACACTTTGTCAGCAATAATTTCTGCTTGTGCAAATCTAGCTGTTATTGAATGGGGAGAACAGTTACATGCTTATGCATTGCGTCTAGGACTGGCAGATGCATTGTCAGTGGCAAATTCCATTATGACTATGTATTCAATATGTGGGCATTTAACTTCAGCTTCATTAGTTTTTCATGGTATGCCTAGAAAAGATATTGTTTCTTGGAGCACCATAATTTCAGTCTATTCCCAAGGAGGTTACGGGAGAGAGGCTTTTGAGTATCTATCATGGATGAGAAGGGAAGGACCAAAGCCCAATGAATTTGCTCTTGCTAGCGTGCTGAGTGTTTGTGGAAGTATGGCACTTCTTGAGCAGGGAAGGCAAGTGCATGCTCACGTCTTGTGCATTGGGGTAGATCATGAAGTCATGATTTTGAGTGCTCTGATCAATATGTATTCAAAGTGTGGGAATCTTCAAGAAGCTTCAAAGATTTTTTATGGGACAAAAACCAATGACATTATATCATGGACAGCCATGATAAATGGGTATGCTGACCATGGTTATAGTCAAGAGGCTATCAATTTGTTTGAGAAGATTTCTAGTAATGGTTTGAAACCAGATGCTGTGACTTTCATTGGGGTTCTGACGGCTTGTAGCCATGCTGGACTGGTTGATCTTGGTTTTTACTACTTTAATTTGATGGGCGATGAGTACCAAATCAATCCATCAAAAGAACACTATGGCTGCATGATTGATCTTCTATGCAGGGCTGGGAGATTGAGTGAGGCTGAACTTATGATACGAAGCATGCCATTTCAGGGTGATGATGTTGTGTGGTCTACCTTACTTAGAGCATGTAGGATTCATGGGGATGTTGACTGTGGAAGGCGAGCGGCAGAAGAGATACTTCACTTGGATCCAAATTCTGCTGGAACTCACATCACTTTAGCTAACATATATGCTGCCAAGGGAATATGGAACGAAGTTGCACAAATAAGGAAGGTGATGAGATCAAAGGGTCTGATAAAGGAGCCGGGATGGTCATGGATCGAGGTCAATGATCAAGTAAATGCATTTGTTGCTGGAGATCAGTCTCACCCACAAAGTGAGCATATCTTAACCATTATGGATATACTAAGCTCAACAAGAGAATATAATAGCCTGGAAATATGTTCTCTTCTAGATGTTGAAGATTAGCAGAAGGTTGAGTGCTGCTTTTCTATGTGCTGATGTTAAGCCAGCATTACTTTGAATCAAGTTTCCATAAGTTGCATAATACTTTTTGGGGGATGGTTTCCCAAAAAACTTCTGATCACTCATGAGCAGGCATGGGTTTGCCTATGAACCTTAAACTGCTGCAGAAATCATTGCAAGGTTGGACTACTTTTTCTGAGTGATGGGATGACGATTTGCCTATAACTATATTAATTAGTATTTTTTTCTCTTTTACATAGGCCATACAAGTTAGCATGCGGGGTAAAAGGGTTCATTTTTTTTGTAGAACTGAATAGTTACATGTAAGAACTGGTTTGACATTTTTCATTTGTATGCTTTGTGCAGGTGTTACAGATGATGCTGAAAATCAAATTTCCTGAAATGTGTGACAACAATGTACTCCTCTGGTCCTATTTATAGGGTAGAGAGAGAAGGTTTTTTTTGGATCCTATTTATAAGTCATTTTATTGAATTTTTAGCGTGAATGTACTATTTTGTCCTTCATTTATTATAGTATAAGTAGTTATCTCTTTTGAAAGATGTCTATATTAGATATGGGTAAAGTTGAAAAATTGTTATATTTTAATGGAGAGTTAATGCATTTTAAAGTTTTTCTTAGTCTGTGTGAAATATGCTGAAAGTGTCTTATAAATAGGACCAGAGAAGTAACCTTGTACAAATTTGACCAGACTTGGTCAGTTAATAGAGATCTTTGTCTGGACTTTTCCTTGGATTCCTTGGAAAAAGGGTAAAAACACTCTTTTCCTGGTTGTAACTTGTATAGTTCCATCAAGTTCTTGGACGAAAGTCATTTTGTTTGTAGTTTTCCGTATTGCATATTTGTTTTTTGTTTTGCTGTGCACTTGACCAAATGGTCTATAGCTTCTCTTTTACCCATTGTTTGAAATTATTTCATGATACCAATGAGCATTTTTTAAGTATGGACCTCACTGACCATACCCGTTTTATATGAGACTGCAGTGAATCTTTATGTGTTATTACTGAGATGATACACGGTCAGTGCATTTTGTTTTAAAGTCCATCAATATTTTGTTGAGTTGACTTATAGTGGCTCGAGTCTTGAGGAAAGATTTGCATATTTGGTCCAATTTGGGTATAAAAGAATTTCTGGCAATCTTCTAGTGTACTCATATACCATCTGTGACTAAAAGTCTGAAATTTTCTATCATTTATCCATCCAGTTCAAGGGGAATTTTTTTTTCCCGTGGAAGTTTAAGGACAAGTTTATCCTTGCACACTAATGTGCCAATAAGCAAATCATTGAGCAAATGAAAAAAAGTATTGTAGAAGTCTCTTTAAAGTTTGATAGGGACAGTTACATATGTTAGTACTGCAAATTTTTATCAAAAGAAATTAGCAATTGTGGTACAAGTGAAGAATTAATTTACCTTGGTAAATGGTCCTGAAAAATCTGACCACAGAAGACAAGGTGGTGTTATGTTTTCAACCATTTGGCTGGTTTTTATATGACGGCCTTCTCTTGAAGTACTATTGATTTCTCTTGCCATCAAATTATCAGTTATGCCATCCTGCAGATGACTTTACAGGAGCCTGGAGTATATTTTCAAGCTATTTTAATAGAGTTATCCCTTGAAGTTCACCATTGGTCAGATAAGCCCACTTTCCTTGGAAAAGGGTGAAACAATTGCCCGAGTCTATATGCTTTCCATCTTCACGTGTGGCATTTATTTTTGAAAGTTTTCTTCTGAAAAGCATGATCAGATGAGTTTTGTCAAGTGTTCACTGAGTTTTTTCATGTTTGTTTTAACCAATATGCATATTTATTTGCGGTTTACCCTTTGATGTAGTATAATGTGGATTTTTTTGGTCCTTCCCCCCCCCCCCCTTTTTCAATTAACCTTTCAGCTCATCTTTTGTCTAATTTCGGCCTCCTCAAAAGGCATCAACAGAGGTGATGGATATGAATATGTGTACTAATGAGCGTTGCTTTGAGATGGAACGGGTCAAACCATGTCCTGGTACAGAGCAGCAAGTGGTTGGTTGTATTAATGCATAAATTTAGTAATATTGATCATTATGTATATTGATATATTGATTATAGTTTTACATCTTATTTTACGACATATATCATTATGCTAACTTATTTTTATTTTGGTAAGCACATTATTCATCTGCTAACAGGGCAGCTTGTTTTTTATGCTGGGCGCAACGCACGGGAAGATATGTCTAATTCAAATTATTCGTGTGTAACTGGGGAAGAGGAAAGGGGAAACAGCTAAGGATCCCTGTATTCTTCAATTGTACGCAACACAAGGTGCATTGAGGCTCCTCATAGGCAGCATGATATCCAGTTTTGATGCTGAACAGGTGTCTATTGTAATTCTTTTCTTTCTTTCTTTCGCAGATACATGCGACTGCTGAAATTTGCTCATCTTCTTACAAAACCCATTTTATGATTAATAATTTTAATAACAGATCACCTCTTTATGTTTCAATCTGAAGTGGTATTTAAATGCTAGATAATTGCATTGAAATTTTTTTTATTCAGCAACCTTGTGCTTGCACAACGCTTTATGGAGACCTTATTTAATTTTTTGTCAATATAGTCTGAAGAAAATTTTATAACCAACATAAATCAATATATATATTGTAAGGGAGAGATATTATCTTTCAGACTGAACTCATGAAGTAACCTAAATCTTACAAAGAGAAGGTAAAATGCACTCAATTAAGTAATAAAATAATCCAAAAATGATAAAATATATTTTCTCTTTACATCACCTCAGGTTTTGTGTTTATTTTTTGTCTCAATTTTATTGTTTTAATTTTACGCTTAATTTTAAATATAATTGTTCAATCATTTTTTTCTCCTCATAATTTCTTTTCTTCATTTGCTGTTGGTGAAAGTCCCGCCAATTGCCATGAGCGTCTGGATCCTATTTTTTCTTTGAAGTTGAACTGAACTGTTTCAACTTATAGTTGATTATTTAATCTTTTCTTTCTTCATTCTGGTAATAATTCACATAAAGTCTTAATATTTGAAATCATTTAATTGACATTATTAAGAAAATATTTGAATAATTTTGAAAATAAACAAATACGTTAAAAATAAAATTAAAAAATGACAATTAAAATTCAAAGAAAGTTTTAAAAACTACAAGTTAAAAGGAAAAATTGGTAAAAAAAATCCCTATTTAAAATTTTAATTAACTAGAAAGACTTGAAATTGTGCAAGTGCAAGTATGATCTGTGAGTGTAAAATATCATTTGCTGTGTGCAACATATCATCCGCTGTGTGCAATTGCACATAGTGGAGGATATGTTACACTCACAGATTATACTTGCACTTACACAATTTAAGTCTTTCTGGCCAATTAAAATTTTAAATAGGGATTTTTTTACTAATTTTTTCAAGTTAAAATTAAAATTGATTAAAGTTAAAATAGCTCAAATCCAAAATGCATAAAAGAATAAAAATATATTTTTTGCCCAAAACAAAATACATGGTCAATCCAACTGAACTATTATTATATGACTATCTTTAAGTTTACAGTCAGTACGTTTCACCGATATATATAGGGTGTGTTTTGGATTAACGGTGGTAAAATTAACTTTTATGCTATATGACTTTTATAAACATGAGTTGGAATAAAAGTCAATCAATATAATGTGATTTTTGTTTGCATTGATGTTTATAAAAAGTCAATTTAAAGAGTTAAAAATAGCTTGAATGATCAATAGAAAAGTAAATTTAGATATAAAAAAAAAATAAACATAAAAAATAATAATTTTTAATATAATATAAAATACTAAATAAACATTTTTTTGGTGAAATTATAAAATAAACATATTTGGTGAGAAAATTTTAAAAACACATTATAGATAATTAAATATATATGATAGACAAACATGAATATAAATTAAAATTCATTAATATATTCATTTTTAAAGTAAATGAAATTACACAACGACAGAGAGAAAAACAGAGATCCTCAGTGTGAGGGAGAAGAGTGGGGGAAAGATAAACCTGGTTGGTATAATTTTAAATGAACATTAAATGTAATTTTAATGGTAAATTTACTTTTTAAACATGCCCAGAACTCTCAGCGTTCCAACGCATTCCCCATTTTATGCAAAAGCCCAACCAAATATCACTTAGTGACTGTTTGGAGTTATGGCGAAAATTCTCTGTAAACATATTTCACATAAATCGAAATAAAACTCTTCTCATATATTTGTCTCATATTTCATAAATTACTATTAAAAAAATACTTATAAACCGTTCTAAATGGAGTCTTAAATCCCAATGTTAATCAAACGCCCATTTCACAATTCCCTAGGCACGTTTAGCCACTCCAGCACTGATTCAAGCATGGGAGGATTACAATGAGATAAAAAAATTACTACTAAAAAGTCTTAATAAAATCTAAATAGTTTGTAATAACAAGTTTTAGAATGAAAAATGATAATTTTTGAGACTTTTTTTGTAATTATCTTCTTTGCTTAAGATCTTATTGTAATTCTCCGTTCAAACATTGTCATAATCATGGAAAACTAATCACTCCAATTCAACAATGTTTTTAAATATTAATTTGATTTCTAGCTTACTAATTCTTACATTTCTCTTTTCTCATAGAAATAAATTAAGGGAGAATTATCAAGAGATTCCCAAAAAAAAATTTAATCATTAAAAAATCCCAATGACAAATGATCAGTTTAAACTTGTTGTCATTTCTTACTCTAAAATTTGTTACTATTTATTTTTCACTTAGCAATAGATTTTAAGATAATTAAATCATTTTCTTAAGACCTGATTGTAATTCTCTCATAAACTAATAATTATGTTATGTAAGTAAAAATATGAGAGTATTTTATTCAACTCAATCACTCAAATAACTTTTGTATTAATTTCCTTTTCCGATAATACTGATGGCGACTGAGGGTGAGGCATTGGACTTGCAGATGCCAAGATGCTCAGCACCTTTGTGTAGAGGGAAAGAGAGCCAAAAAGAGGGATGGACCACAAAGTGTAAGTAGGCAAAGAAATTGGAAAACCAATGTTTGTAAGGAAAGGCTGCTTCTAATCAAGGAACAAAAAAACCGAATCGGATACTAAACCGGTTGAGATAGTAGTTCAAGGGTCAGTGGGTCAGACCGGGGTCAATCTGGGATCAAACCGGTCATATTAAAATAATATAATTTGATTGAAAATAACAAAATATAACAATACTAATAATCACTAATAACAAAATATAAGGAAATACAATAATAATTTGATTGTAATAATAATAAAGTATAACAATATTGAGAATTTTGATCTTTATAATTCCTCAATAATTATTAATAACTATTAATACCAGAATTATCATTAAAATTTATTTAAATATATAATAAATGAGATATTAGAAGCTGAATGGAAAAAAATATGACAAATAGTAATATAATTATTCAAACCGGTTCATTACCGGTTCAATCCAGTTTGAACCGGTTCCCGGTTTAATTCATGAACCAGACCAGACCAATGACCGATTCACCGGTTATCCGGTTAAGCCGGCCGGTTCGATTCAGTCCGGTTTTTTGTACTCTGCTTCTAATCTAAGCAGGTAAATATACTCACTTCTCATTAATTAAATTATTATTTACAATTAATATTACCAAGTTATAATTGCATTGATAAACTTACCCATCAGTTCCGAGTCTCACTATCAAGCCTTTTCAGCCTTCACTTGCTATCCTCTTCTCATGTCCCACCACACACATCCTTTAACCTTATCACTCCATTTCCTCTCCATCTCTACTTTGAACTTTCCTTTCATGCAAATCAATTCTCAGCATATTATTATTTTGTTTTTATGTTCGCCAATTATGCCTTTTTCATTTATAACGGATTTTACATTTCTGTCTTTCTTTCTTCCTTTTATAGCAATTATAGTCCCTCGCTCATTATTTCTTCATATATACTTCCTCCAAGTTAATGATTCATGAATTCACATCAAATGTATGTCCAAAAGGAGTCAGAGCCATCAAATTAAATTATCAAAGTCAATAAAAAGAATGCGCATTGTTCTTCATGTTTTCAAATACATCTTTAAGTTTTTTGAGTTGCTCTGTTTATCTCTTAACTACGTCATTCCTAGAATATTCAGAAACACTAAGTTTTTTTTCAGAGATTAACTGCCTGCGTTCCAACGTACTCAAGGTTGCATGAAATAATGATGCGCACACACAAGTACACAGCTTTGCAACAATGTTCCAATCATATATTCTGGGCTTATTAGTATTTATTTGTTCATCATCTCATTCATAACGCAATTGGAAGAAAAGAAAAACATGTACTTGGATTAATATTGCGCATTGGCTTCTGAGTGCCCTTAATTCATCGAGAAGCTAAGCATTAAGGTGATACCCATCATACATGCTTGCGTGTCTGTATTTATATTGAGGCTCGATGCTTGGTTATATAGTTAAGTCCTCTCATGCATCATCCACGTGTCAAGCGGTTTTGAATTTTTTGAATGCGAAAGAGACCCAATAAAAGAAGAAAACAATCAAGAGTTTGTGTTTTATAAACAAGAGGAAAAAAAATGCAGCCGAGCCTTAATGGTCCGTCAATGAGTTTCAAAGTTTCAGGGACTTGGGAGCAAAAAAGGGTCAAGAAGAGCCTGAAAGTCTGGGGCTTTAAGATTATAAAAAGGAAAAAGAAAAAGAAAATTGAGACTTTCCTATATGAAGTTTTGTGAATGAGATAAGATTAAGAGAAACGAATGGAGAGACCTCCACGTGTTAATCAGACAAGTGCTATGAGAGGAGTGAGTGGATCACCCCAAGCGAAGGAACTGGTCCTCCAAGTGTGTTTCTCCTTTTACTCAGACAACCTGCTATACCCGGTATGTTTGGATGATGCTACCGGTTAGTCCCGTTCACGTGGATGAGTGGTCAAACTACTTTACATCTCCCTTGGGGTTGTGAGGGGGTTTAAGACAGGGAGCACAAGTCGGGTGGTTTTCTTGGGGTTTTTGTTTTTGATCAGACACTGCCCAATTTTTTAGGTGAGAATTATTATTTACTCAGAAAGAACAATTCTTTATGCATAAATTTGTCTTCTTGTTCCTCCAAAACTCTTCAATTCTCCATTTGAAATCCATGGGGGGTTAATATTGTTACTGTTGCTGCTTCAATTCAATCAGTTTCTTCTGTTTCTTTTTCGTCAAAAGGGTATTAGAATTTGCATTGCTTCATCTCCCTCCTCCATTTCTTTTCTGGATTCACTTTGGTTCCCCTGCAATTCCTAGTGCCTGATTCGTTTCATTTTCTTGTAAATTCAATATTTTTCTCTTCCTTTATCTTTTTTGCTTAACAATTGATTCATCCTTCATATCTCTCTTACACACACACACACGGTGGTGATAAATTTTTGTTAACGTGTCAGGAATGATCTTCCAATGAGAGTCCTGGGGTCAGAAGATTCATCAAAACAGAATCTTAAGTAAAATGCAACGTTTTTATCCTGGGGCCATACAATGTTCTATCTTCTTGATATTGTTGTCATCACGCATAAGTTGTATATTTAATTTAACGACCTTTATCTCGTAATCCTGGAAATTGAGTGTTCCTTGCTAGAAAATCAAATGAAGGGTTTTATTTACTTATTCATTTAATTTTGTTCCCTCTGTTCTTATTATTCTTTAATTGCTCGTTTGGAACTGAAGGACATATTATCTGCTCGAGTATCAGGCCTGCTGAATGTGTCTCCAACATGGGATGAAATGTTAGTGTCCGTTTGCATGTAAGCCTTTAATTCTGCTTCCTTGAGCCCTCTCCCTTTCATCTCTTTTCTTTCTCGTCTCTCTCTTTCTATCCTAATTTCTTCTTCTTCTTCTTTTCCCTTTTTGGACTGCTCTCTCGTTATTAGATTATGAGGATAGAACCTTATTTCACCTGAAAAATTTAAGATTGCAGATTCGATTACCATGCAAAGCGTAGAGTTAAAGAATTATTTGTTAACATTATCCCTTTTGCCAAAATGCGATGCTTTTATTCATTGAATTTTGGTGTGAATATTGGTAATTTACTTTTCATTTCTTTGGCAATCTCTTTATTGATGCTCATACCGTTGGAAAAGTGCTTTTGGCCTTCATAGCCTTCCTTGTCTGCAAGTTAAACTTGCAATATCTTGTTCACGCCTACAATGATATGTGTCGTGGTTTGCTTCCCTTTTGCCAAAATGCATTTGACCATTAGTGATTTGTTGAAGCAGTAGAACTGGTTTTGAATAATTGTGCTAAATCCTATATGTTGCTTGACATAAACCCCTGATATGAATAAAAGAATTAATTTTTTTTTTATTGTGCCGTCAGGGTCTCATTTTGGATGCCAGCAAAACTCAAGGAGGCAGTTCGCATTTTATCTAATGAGTTTTTCTTTCGGTAATGATTTTCTGAGATATGGTGTTGCAGAAGAATTTGAACTACAGTTTTAATGGCTATCAAGTGCCTGTCGTTCCCAGGGCTTTGAGAACAACTAGGGTATTTATATCCTTCTACTATTCTGGTACTGCCTATTGACCAAGTTTTAATATTTGATTTGCTTTAATAAATGGTTATAGGGGAGGGGCACATTCAAGAAGAAGAGTGAGGGCAATCAGATACAAGCTTTTGAAATTTTGGCTAGTGTAGCTGGCAACTTTCTGCAGGAGAATGAAAATTTGAATACTGAGAATGCTGTGGCTGGAAAGGATCCTGTTGGTTTTGTTGAACTTAACATAAAGGATAAACAAGAGGACGAAGCGGGGTCTTTTAAGAGTGACCTCTTGGAGCATGGATGTTGCAGTGAGAATGCCTCTGGCTCGGTCTCTAGTTTGCAAGGGAAGCATAATGACCAAAGGCATGTGTTGAATGGATATTTGTTTAATAACGAAAATTTTAGTTCAAAGATCAGCTTCATGGCATTGCATTAGAAACTTGTCGTCTCTCAGCAGTATTTTGTTTTGTTCCATTGAATCTCTTAGCAGGGTTGAAGGCTGTTCATCTTTTCTTGGCAGTCGTCTTGAAGGCCAAGGACAAAATGTTTTTGAGAAGGAAGCAGATGGACTGATGAAAGAGAATTGTGTGAATGAGAAAATTGTTCATGTTACTGGCAGCTCTGCTGGAGTGACAGAACCTCACCACAGGGCTTCTAAATGGGAAAGTTCAGAAAATTCTGTCGAGAAACCTTCATTGGAGGATCCCGTACATGGTTCCAGTGGTAGGAAATTATTTAATAGAGATGATGACGAAAAATTTGTTAGGTGTACTCAACCAAGCTCTAAGAGTAAGAATTCTGGCCTCCTGCCAGATATGGCTTTTCAGAGAATGAATTGTGTTTCTGGATCCAAAAGTCGTGGTTTAGGCCAAAAGTCAAAGAATGGGAGTTTGTATGGAAGTGGTATGTGGATCTTTACACACAGTTGATTATTAATTCAGATTAAGTTTCATGAGCCGTCTTCTGAGTTTTCAAAAGTTGAGCATGCAGACTATGCCAATGCATATTTTAATAACTATTGACAGTGTCATTTATTGTTACCATCTTGTAGATGACAGTATTGGTAGAGATAATTATATGCTTGAAAGCTCACAGAGGATGTATCCTTTTAAGAAGAGGAAGTTTTTCAACCAGACCTCATCATCTGCATCTGATAGGGGGTCTCATTGCCATGGCATATTTGATTCCTCTGACACCAGAGTTGATGATGTGAACTGCAGTGCAGGTGCAAGAATCAATTGCTGCCCCGCTTTTGTTTTTGTTTGTACTCTGTGTTGGCACTAGGCCTTACCAATATGATCAGTTCTGGCTTAGTGATTCAAACTACCACATGCAGCAATTGGAGCATCATCCTCTATAGCTGGTCAAGAAGTACATACGGGGTCAAGGGATTGTAATGGTAGGAGAACTGTTGAAATGATTTATCTGATACCTATTAATCCTACCACTTGTTGTGTGAGATTCTTATTAGTTTTCATCCGTTATGTTGCAGTGAAGCTTAGCATAAAATCTTTTAAAGTCCCAGAGCTTTTTATTGATATCCCTGAAACTGCAACCATTGGTTCATTAAAGGTATGTGATTAGAATTCATTGAGAGAAAGACTCGAGTAATTATCTGATCCATCCACTTTTTCCGTGCATTGTGGATACAATGATATAGGTGTCTGAGGTATAAAATAGCACATTTTTTAGGGTGTCTATGTTTGTTTTGACAATGGGAAATCATCATCGAAAGGATACAACTGATACTAAATGGAAGTTGACTGTTATGGGACACCATTCAAAGTGGTATCATTCATTGACACCTTAGTATGACACCCACTATCTTGGATACCAGTGGTTCAAAGGCAATTACCTTGGGTTTCAACTAGCATTCAATATATCTGGATCAAGATGAGGGGTGACAAATGTCTCTTAATGGGAGATCTATTATTTTTGAATGGTTTTAAGAACCTTATTACGTGGATAATTGATGCCTATAAAATTGCATTGATTATCAAATAAATATACTGTTAACACCTATCCCTATTCCTCACAAAAGAGTTTGAGGTTACTGGGTTGTCTGAAGTTTTCCCTTGATTTCTTTTGGTGATTTCCTTCTTTGTATGTCTATTTGCAGAGGACAGTTATGGAGGCAGTGACGGCTATTTTAGGAGATGAACTACATGTAGGTATTCTTCTTCAAGGAAAGAAGGTCCAAGATGACAGCAAAACTCTAATTCAGACTGGGATTTCTCAAGATGATAAACATCATAGACTGGGGTTCATGTTGGAGCCAAGACATGCTAAAATTACATCACCTTCATATAATGAAGACCGTTCTTTCCGAACCACTAGTTTGCACCGGGATATATACAGGCATAAATTCAACCAATTGTTCATTTATATTTTTGTTTCTATTTTGTTAACCCTTTTGCCCACAGCATCACTGATTTTCTCTTGTCTGAGAATCTGGTAATGTCATTAGCAGTTTTTTATTTGATAATCTTCTACAACAGGAAACCTACATCTTTGGTGCTACAACAAAGAACTTATAACGTCTCCCAAGAGCACTCCCTGATTAAATTTGAAAGTTGTGGTGAAGGTGACCTAAACGTGGTCCCCTCTCTAGCAGATGCTTCCCCTAACAATAACATGTCAAAGTGCCGTGCCCTAGTTGCAGTTCCGGCTATTAACATGGAGGCATTAGCTGTCATTCCCTTCCGTCGTAAGCCTGGAAACCCTGACTTTGTGCAGCGTCGAATCAGGAGGCCTTTCTCCGTGTCTGAAGTAGAAGCATTGGTTCAGGCAGTTGAAAAACTAGGAACTGGAAGGTAATTGTTAAACCTTCTTCCTCCATTTGATGAGTAGTGGTGATTCACTCAGAGCACTAAGCACTAAAGCATTTTCCTCTCTGCTTGGCAGATGGCGTGATGTCAAACAGTGTGCCTTTGACAATGCAAAACACAGGACGTACGTGGATTTGAAGGTCAGTGATCCATATAATTTATGACGTCTATACATTCATAACTTAAAAATATGTATTGATGGCAGAATCTCCGTCATCCATGGGAGGTAAAAATATCTCAATTTTCACGCATTTCCTCCCAATAATTGTTTTCCTTTTCCTTTAATTCACTGCTTTCATTAGAATGAGTTCGATTTTCTATTAGATTATTAAAGTACTTTAAACTTACTGTAACTGATATTTTGTCCTTCCTGGATTGTCTTGCAAATTTGTGTTGAAAAGAACTTGATCCCGTTTTTAAGATATCTGTTATCAAGCTTCAACATGAAACTAACATGTTTATTATTTGCACATATTAGCACCACATGGCTGGTTCTTTCAAAGGCACTTGGCCTAAGCTTTGTCCCTTTTCTATGTTTCTTTTCTGTGATATCTTTAGTGCTATGATTAGTCTTCCAGTCCACACACATGGATACATACAGGGAGAGTAGGAAGCATCGATGCTAATGTAGACAGACAAGCATATTGCCACGTGATAATTCCGAATTATCTAGGCAAGATTGAAAGTGTCATATCTGTTTTTAATACGTGTCTGATATATGCCAAGGCTTTTTTTTTTTTTTTTTTGGTGTGGGAACTTCGTAAAGGAGCAAACTGATTTGATTGTAGTTGAGAAGTATCGAAACCACTTCCATTTGTTGTCACTAATGAGAATAGTGCAGGATAAGTGGAAGACATTAGTGCACACGGCAAGAATCTCCCCTCAGCAGAGGAGAGGAGAACCTGTTCCCCAGGAGCTCTTGGACAGAGTCTTAGCTGCTCATGCCTATTGGTCTCAACAACAATGTAAGCATCAAGTTAAGCCTGTTTGAGCCTCTTTCTCAATGCTGAAGAACACTGAGCAACACAAACATAGTTTGGAAGACGTTTTCTCATGCTGTAGTTATGTAAAAGTTCGATCTTATGTAAATTTAATTTATATAATATGCTTACATCACATGATTGTGATCCACATAACAACTAAGCTCCTCCGAGAGCTCCAGAAGGGTCTGGGAATATGTAAATGGTTGTTTGTGCTTGTAAGGTTTCCCTTGTGTTCTCTTCAATTATTTTGGACACTTCCTGGAGAGGACTAGAATGGTGAAATTGGTATAGAAGATTTAGTATAATTATTTTCTTAATACATATTATGTTCCCTCTTCAAGTTATGTCATTACCTCAAAGATGTCAAGGAACCCCTCTTCACATATTATTTCCTTTAATTTAGTTCCTTAATCATTATCTTGCCCTTAATTTCGCCTCCCATTTCTATTTTTC